AGGAATTCAGAGCCTCTGAACTACTTCGAAGTGGACTGGACCGATCTAAGTACCTTTTGGTGAAAGAAGCGAAGATCATTGCTATGACCTGCACTCATGCTGCCTTAAAACGACATGACTTGGTCAAGTTAGGTTTCAAGGTATAGACTTAGGTGTTTTGGTTCCTTAACTCATTATCTATTTAGTTAGAAATTTTGTTTCTTTCCTTTTTTAATTACTGAGGTGTTTTTCCCTTGAAAATAAGTTCACTTTTTGTTTAAGCTCTCATTTGTACTTTAAAATGTCCCTTTTAAATACGGACAATAGTATCACATTCATGCATGATTGGTGAACTTCAATCTAATTTTTCTAAGTCTGCAGTCATATGCTTACTAATTAACATAATCATAGAGTTGTCTAACCAGATTCTCCTGCACATTAAGGTTTTCTTACCAAGCATCGCTTGGTAAAAAAATCTCTAAACAGAACTGTTATAAAAACAATATTGCATAATAGTGTAGTCTGAGACATCTATATGTGTGCATTGTTCCCATAATTAGTCTGTAAGATGAATATTTAAATGATTTTGTCATGTAATAATAACTAAAGGAGTGCACAGCAGCCCATCAGCCTGCTGGTGAGTTGAAATGGGATGTAGTGATGAGGAGCAAGCTTTAATTTGTAGATCCACTGTGACTTTGTTAGTGATACTGAGCTAGGTTCTGACTGTAATACAAATTGTTGAACTTTGCTGCACCTATTTGTTATTGAAAATAGGTTTTGTGTACTGGTTTGAATTCAAAGTTAGTAATTCATTTGTTGATAAAAGTAACTGATAATTTTAAGATATATGAGCTCATGGAAAGATAGTGCTAAATAAATTCAAGGTGTTAGAATTGTTGTTATCTTGGATAAAAAGTTCCTCAGCTACAAGGTAGGACAAATAAGATGCTGTATTAAAAGGTAGTGTGAACTTAGCCCAGTGGTGTGAACTTACTCTTTTGCAAGTCATTAGTGAGAATTTTTCACCTAAATATTTTGTTCTTTGTACAGACATATAAAATATGCTTTAAATTAAATATTAAACCATATCTGTTTGATAGCAAGGGGAAATGATACAATCTTAACTAGCATTTTATGCTTCCATGCAGCCTTTCATTAATTATTTTTTCTATTTAACATCATGTTATATTCTACTAAAGGCTTAGTATTAGTGATAATAGGATTTTTATATTTTTAATTTTAACATTTAACTTTTCAAACTTAAGAGTTATAAACTTTGTAGATGTACTTCCCATAAAATAGATAACCCCTACTCCCTAGAGCAGGCTATGTTAAAGGATTTTCCCTCATTCCACTATTAGGAATGATAAACTGGGGGTACCGTGGCCTTGTAGCAGTGGCTGAAGGAGAAGCAGGACAGCAGGAAAGAGCCAGATAGGAAAATTGCTGGAGCAGTAGAGCTGGTAGAAACAGAGTAATATGAACAGATTCTAATGGAAGTGTTGAGGTAATATTGACATACTTTGGTAGAGGGTGAGCTAGATGTGCAGGGTACAACAGAAACGGATCACTGTGATGGGTAAAGTGCATCGGGGGAAACAGTTAGTGCAAAGTGCTACTTTGGGTAAGAATAACAGTGGCAGTGACCCCCGCACATATTTGTAAAGTGATTTTTGCACATGTAGAATTTATTTAGTATTTTAGTAAGGGTCTACAGGGTCTCACTACATAGGTAGTGATCCACCTGTGTTCAGCCTCCCAAGAGCTGAGATTACAGGCACGCGCCATGACGCCCAGTCTTAATCGCCAGTTGCTGTCTCAGTGCGAGCCAGGGGCAGGGCCGGCAAGACACTGGGGATTGAGCCCCAGCTGCTGCGCCTGCCTGTGCAAGTGCTTTAATCCATTGAGCTATTTGGCTGGCCTTGCGTATGTAGGATTTGGATAACTAAATTGAAAAGAACTAAATAGATGCTGCACTGGGGCATATATACTCAGAGGGCTGTTTTGAGGTTAAAGACGTGAATTGGAGATAAAAGGACACAATGATTAATAAGATCATAAATTGTGTGAATAATTTGTATGTTGCTAGTTTTATCTGAAATTAATAGGATTTTTAAAATGATTATTGGCTTTTTTTTGACAAGTTTTCTTTTTTTTTCAGTATGACAACATTTTAATGGAAGAGGCTGCTCAAATTCTGGAGATAGAAACTTTTATACCTCTCCTTCTACAGGTATGAAATTAAAATCTGAGACAAAGTTTTTAAGAATTGTTAGGGACAGTGTCAAAAAGCCACATAGTTTGGGGGTAATACTCGTCACAGTTACATGTGTTCCCTCACTACATTTTATTTGGGATTCTATTTTAAGCCTGTAAACTAACCTTAATATAATCATGGATAGTTGAGTAGTTTGTAGTGGTTTATGATAGCTTTTAAAAATTCATACAAAGTAGTTTTGAAAAGTCAGTTTAATCAGGAAAATTACTTCATTTTCTTTTTCTTGTTACTAGAATTGTTTCTGGTATTCTGAATACATTGGTTTATTTTACTTCTAAGTTTTAAGAATATTTTTTACTGTACAATACTTTTCACCTCAGAAGCATTAAAAACAAAATATAGAATTCCCAATGTAAGAATGGAGACTGCTTTAATTTACAACTATATCAAGTTAACAAGTTGTTTCTATATTGGAACTTGTAATATAGTTTATGTATTTCAAGGGACAGTAGAAAATTGTGCTGGAAGAAATTAAAGAAGGTAGTTTTTACTGTCAGCAGAACTGCTTTTTGGTATAATTATGGAACAAAGTTTTTGCTTTTGACGTTTTTCTTTTTCTCTTTCTGGGCACCTGTTTTTGTTCGTGTTCTCTTGGTGTAATCCTGAACTGTTAGGACCTCTTTACGTTACCCTGACGATTACAGTAGGATGATTTCATGTCTGCTTTCTCAGTCCTTCTATGCGTTCCTGCCCATGGTCCACTCAGTGTCGACACCAATACTAAATTTACTAGTTGTTGTATGACATTGGTCAGTCTTCTTTGTAGAACTAGTAAAGGTTGGGTGAGCAATGAACAAGTCTCTTGGACAATAAATTAGACAACAGGATAATTTACTAATTATATTTTTTACATTTTTCTCACTTTCCATTTCTAGAATCCTCAAGATGGATTTAGCCGGCTGAAGCGATGGATTATGATTGGTGATCACCACCAGTTACCACCGGTCATTAAGAACATGGCTTTTCAGAAATATTCGAACATGGAGCAGTCTCTCTTCACTCGCTTTGTCCGTGTTGGAGTTCCTACTGTGGATCTTGATGCTCAGGGTAGAGCCAGAGCAAGGTAAAGGAGACAGGAGAAAAAATACCTCCTCTGTTGAGGACATCAGTTCCATGACCCAAATATTTGTGATCATCTTCATGTAAAGTTTTGTTGTCCAGGAGCTTGGTGGTCACTTTTTTCATTTTATTAATTAAAATTAACTTAAATGGTATATAACCTATAGGTTTCACTGTACCTTTCTCTTTCTTCATATTGCCAAAAGATATATTCAGTATAATTTTGAAATAGAGAACAAAAGTGAACCAGCAAAAGTATACTATTTCTCATTTGGTAGAGCATACCATTGCTCCCAGCAACATCAGTTGAGAGTTTTTAATTATGGTGTGACAGTAGCATTTACCTCACAGAGCACGAGAGAGCTTTTATTTTTGTGATGTCTTTAGTGTCTTGACTCTTGGTTAAAGTAAGGAGGCTCCATTTGAAAAGGCATCATTTTAGGTCTTGCTAAAAGGGGAGTAAAAATGGGTGCCATGGAAAGTAAAGCACGTACAATTGTGTAGAAACTCCTTAGATATTTTAAAAGGGATTTTGTGTTGCTAATCTTTCCTGTCGGGTGGATTTGTCTTTGGAAAGCTTGTGTAACCTCTACAACTGGCGGTACAAGAACCTTGGAAACTTACCCCATGTGCAACTCTTGCCAGAGTTCAGCACGGCAAATGCCGGCTTGCTGTATGACTTCCAACTCATCAATGTGGAAGATTTTCAGGGAGTGGGAGAATCTGAACCTAATCCTTACTTTTATCAGGTAAGAGAAAACATGAGGGTTTTATGTTTATTTTGTATTTGCCTGGCTGAATATTAGTGACTGAATCATTAGTTAATCATTAGCTGGATCATTGAAAACAAGGAAATTTAGTCCCCCCCCTTATACA